ATGGGCAGAGGAACTAAACGCTTCAACAGAAAATCAGCTTTAACTGTTGCTTACTTTTCCTATCCATGCCTACAGCACATACTGTGGCTAGTGCAACTTCTTTCTGCCCCAAGAGTGGCTGGATTTTAGATTTTCCTGCGCAAGCTGTTTTAAAGACTTGCAGAATCACCACTCTGTAAAACTGAGGAAAGTTGTTTGTTGTTCAAAAAAACCCAAATTTTCCTTAACTTGCAAAAAGTATCTGCAGAATGTGAGAGATTGAAACTACTAAAAAGAAGTTACTGTTTTCTCTTGAGAGTTGTTACTTTCTTCAAAGCAGTGTTTTAAGGTCACTTTCTTATTCTTAACTGGAAGTAATTTGATGGGATTATCTCTTGCTGGGTGGGGGGGTGGGGGGGTCAGCAAATCCTGGGCTTCTTCAGTGCTTTTCTGTCTCAGTTAATTGCAGACAGAAAGGGGCAGAAGAGAATTCACTCCTTCCAAAGTCAAAGCATGTTTCCACAATGGCCTCTTCATAACAACCCAGCATGAAATAAGTATTCCCTAACCTGAACTTTATTGTACTGAGAACATGTGAAATATTTCTTTACCAATTTTGGTTTGTCCTATTCCCCTTCTTTGTTCCGTCTCCCTCTGCTGCTCCCATTTTAGTTAGTAAGATGCATCTTTTGCTCTTTTCTGTCTCTTTGTGTGCATTAAAAAAAATAGAAGAGAGGGGCGTTACTGGTTTTACTTACTCATAAAACATAGGCTTTAGCCCAGAGGGAAAAGATAGTTCAGGCTTTTTTCTGTGCTCTGAGTTTTAGGGCTCAAAGGAAGGTGGTACTTGGAAAAGAAGTATTTATGTATGCAAATATACACATTTAATTTTTTTAAGGTCTCTCAGAAGGCTTTGACAAGAACACCCACTGAATTCTGGAGTGATTTGTTTCCAAATTTTAATTTGTGTCTGTGGAAATTCCATCTGTAACTATGTGGGTTTGCCACTGGGTTGAAAAATGAAAGACACAAGAAGAGCACCCTAGAACAGAGGAAATTGATGCAGACTGTGGCCCTGGAGAGGATAACAAAGTAGTTTGCTGGAGCTGTTGCAGCCAAGATAAGAAAGAAGTTCTTCAATAAATAAGTAGAACAACGACGTTACTATTAACAAAAAGTCCCTAAGACAACTCCCCCTAGTCACCTCCCAATTTCCAAATAAGCATGTCTTTTGTTGCCACTCTCCATGCCTGAATTTATGCAGTCATGTGTGTGCTGATGCAGATGAATAGAAGTGACATTATATCTCATGGCCACACTGGGGATACCTTGTGTGGTACTCATGTGGAACAGTGGTCTATGTAATCTCCCCATCCCTGCCCACAGACTGGGAAAAGAAGGAGGCTGGAAGGAAGGAAGAGATTTATGAGTGCTGTGATTTGTCCAGGTTTTAACTGTCGCTTTAAGTGACTGCATTTTCTTAATGTGGTACTGGCATTAATAACTGAACAAGCAGCAACAAATATCACAAGAGGCTTTTACTTAGGTTCACTTGTGCTGTAAAATCAGCACTAACAACTGTTTTTACATGCTTTAATTGTGACTGTGCCAGAATTGAGCTTGGAGGTCTACCTGCAACATTGCTCTAATTTTCTCAACTTTCTCCACCAATTCTTCTCTCTATTTTTGCTGGTCTGCTATCAGATGGATGAACAGTTTCACCATTTTTTCTGTTCAACTGGATTTCTTTCTTCAAGCCTTCTCACTGCCTGTTTCTCTTTTGGTGTGCTTTAGAAATTGCACGTCTGAGTAAACTGAAATGTAATCCGAAGTCTATCAGAGGTATATGTTGGACATGGTTCATCTAACACAGTACTGTATCAGGAAAAATTTAATCTCAGTAAGAAGTTTTTTAGAGCATTTTCCTTTTGAGTTTTCCCGAAAACAAACAAAGTATTCAGGAGAAATTTTCTTCTACTTAAAATTCTGAAACACTCAGTATGAACTTCTCTGAGGGGCCAAAAGATGTATCTCTTTCTTTTCTTTACTTCCTTTTCAGAATTTTGATGATCCAATGTAACTTCCTTTAAAATCAGGTTATTAATGGAAATTCCAATAATCTCAACATCTGTGTATCTCCCTGAATAATTTTCATCCATTATTGTCTCTATTTTTATTCTGCATACAGTGAACAGTCTTCTATTTTGGGGGGCTTTTTGTTTGGTTTGTTTGGGCTTTTTTTTTTTTGGCAATGATGTTTTCCCTATGCTGAGATCCTCTTTTTAGTGAAAAAAAGAGTGATACCTTAACATTTGATAACATATGGAGTAACAAACATTCATTCTCAGTTGTGGTGTGCATGTCTTGGGAAGAAATAATTCCTGGCAATTGAAAAGAACTTCTCATAACATGAACATATGCACAAGTGAAGTCTTCCTCATTATCAAAAGCATTTTCAAGGACATGACATATTGCCTATGAACTGTAATGGGCACATGCTCTGTTCAACAGAGAAATAAATAGATTTCAGAATTAAGAAGGGAACAAACTATGGTGAGGAAAGCTGAAACAGTCAAAACTTGTGGGTTATGTTTCAGACTACAATCTGCTGTGTGACACTTGGGAAACCACTTACTTTCTGTTTTTATAGGTGTAAAATGAAAAGTTTTCCTGAAATAGTTATATGTATAAAGCAACCCAACAAGCAGCTTAAGTTTTTATGGGATCAAATGTACATATAGTAGCGGTACTCTACAGACATTAAATTATCTAATTGCAAATCAGCAGAGAAGTATTTCTCAGGACTGTTTTAGGTTTTCAAAGATCTTTGTATGAAAAGGTGAGTAACTTTAAGGAACTGAATTTTCTGAGTTTTTAGCAGTGGATTTGATTGTAGCTGGTTTATTTATGAGGTTGACAGATTGTTCTTGTTTTTTCCTCAGAGTTCTTCCTGTCAGATTTCTAGCTTGGTGTTAGGCAAGATGAGCTAAAAGCAATTACTTTGCAAATCAGATTTACTTAATGCTAATTTAATGCATCTTCCTTCTACCAGTCACCAGGTTTTATAAGTCAGTAGCAACCTGACTGTGTTGAATTTGAGTTATACATCAGGTGATAGTAGTTTCTAGCACTTCTGATATAAAACTGGCTGTAAGTTTTTTCTTGGGGCATAACTTGTTAATGGCCTTAGCAACTAACTTATGTCATTAAAACTTTTATGAAATTATATGAAAGTGCCAAACAGAGTTCTATGTTCTTTGTTCAGGCTAGTCTGGCTGTTTTTCTAAGATGCCAGTTGTTTTGCTGTCTAATATATCAGTCAAAAAGAAAAAACCTGTAATTTCAAAATGAGCTTCCAGTCTCTGTCCCAGTTCCACATCCCTCTTCTTGTGTTACAATGCTCATCTGTTATGGACAGATGCTCATGCTGGGTTCAAGAGTCTTACTGGACAACCTATCCACAATGGACAGGTTAATGTACCAACACACCTGGTTTTACCTGTGGGTGAATTAAGCAGGTTTTCAGGAATATAATACAAGAAACTGCACCTAAGCAATATGCTGAAGACATCTTTGGACTTGGACCTATCTTTAACATAATATTAATACAGGAGATCCTGGGATGAATCAAACAAATGACAGCAGATTTCACTAGGATTTTAGAGAAGCACCAGCCCAGCCCTGGTCAGGGCAGGCTGGCTGCTTCATGCTTCGTGGCCAAGACCATGAAATTAGAATTTGACTAACTGCATCATGATCACTGAAGAAAAGCTGCTGAGATGTCAGTTGAGTGACAAAAACTGAGCAACAAAGAATAAGGAACAGCTGAGAGAGGAAGACCTCCAGGGACTGTAGCACAGGAAGCAGAATTATTTATGTGAAATTTCTGTCTGAGATGCAACTCGGTTATCAAATTCAATTGAATATTTCAGGAGTTTGTCCTGATGTGCTTTATCAACTTACGTTGTATGGAACATTAAATGCAATGATTCAATGACTTTTTGTCAGCACCCACAACACTCCCAGAATTGACGGGAGCACTGTACCAACATGTGTCTTTCTGTCAAACTCCCAATTACAAATGCAGCCTCACCTTTTAGTAACACAACTGAATGAATACAGTTACCTTGCACAAATGCCTACATAAAACTCACCATGGTTTTGGCAGCTGAATAAGAATTGCAGGCAGATGTGATGACAGAATAACTTTTGAGATTGTTTTACTTGTAAGATTATCTTGCAGGGAAATACACCACACTAAAAGCCATGAGATCTGAGAAATTAAATGGTGATTTCTTGCAGGACTAAGAGAAGTTTGTGTGGGATAGCAGTAAGTTCAACACAGCTTTTGATCAGGCAATCAGGCAGGATGAATAATATACAATTATTATTGAGTAATTCTACAGTTTAAAGAATTTTCTATTGTGTTCTCCATTGAAACTGAAAGTAAGAACAAATATATCTAGTGTATCTAGTGCTCCTTACAGATTAGTATCTGGGCTGTGCTCACTACCATTTGCTTACGGAGAGCACAAGAACTGTGTATGCATTAAAATGATCCTTCTGCAGTTTTTGCTGATTCTGATTTGCTCCAACATCTGCTGTCAGACAAAGATTACAGGAATCCTTTTACCTGGAACCCTGTGAAACTTATCTTTGTACTGTTGCACACCATTTGATAGTCTAGTTCAAATACAAGCTTTTGAACTATTGGCATTTATCTGTACATGACTGAAAAGTATGACACAATTGAGTTATCTTGTCATTAAGGAGTAGAACCAATTCTCAGCAGATCTGGTTTCACTATGAACTTGTCAGGTCAAGACTACAGAACCCAGCATTTTTGTGCCTTTTATCCTTAGTAAAATGGCGTAAAGATACCTTTGATATTTGTTTTGCTAATTTGGGGATGTACCATGCTTAACAATGTGATTTTCATTGGAGGCTATAATATTACTATCATAGAAATGAAATCCAATCGTGACATAGTACTAGATTTTCTCCCTGCTTTCTCCCTCCAGATTTTTAGAGTGTGGGATATACAGACTCTTTCACTGCTGCAAGTCTTCCATGATAATCAAGTCAATCCTGAAGAGATGGAGAACTCTGTCATGGTATTTGACAATGAACATGGTGTGCTTATCTCTGGTATGTTGCTGCAGTTGATGTATGAGAGAATGTCCCTTCTCCTAGAATGAGATTTCCTTAATGATTACATACAGCTGAAGCTGAGTAAAGTAACAAAGTATATAAGATGTACATAATACTGGGAGGTAAGGGTATTTGCACATTAAGACCATTTTAAAGTGGATCTTGTTATATACGGTCCTAATTTCAATATAGAAATATGCATCAAAAATATTCAGCATGGGAATTAATAGCAGGAACAAAAAGAAATGAGAAAGGCTTTTCTAAAGGGAAGGTGAGGCTTCCTTAGAAAAAATAAACTACAGATATTTTCTGTAGCCTTGCCATTTCTCAAAAGCTACTAAGCCACTGATATTCCCCTAACTATTCATCTAGCACTCTCCTACCGTTTGGAGATCAAAGCAGCAAAGTATAGGCTCTGTGGAGACCTCATAAGTGCATTCAAACACCTTCTTTTACTCAGTAGCTACAGAAAGCCCCACAAGCTCTGGTTTCAACAGATGCATTATCCAATTGGTCAGGAATAAAATATTGTGGGAACTGAACTCACAGTTTCTGGGCTCTCTTTCCTAACTGTATAGCAAGGAGCCTGAAACCTCCAAGGGACCAGAGCTTCACAGGTGTGAAGCCTTCTGTAACTAAGGCAGAGGCTCTGGAAACTGGCAGGGTTTGACTTCCCCAGAGACACAGTCACTGAAAAAAAACCCAGCTTTGAACCTTTTCTGGGGCTATAGAGGCCTGAGACATACCAGACAAATAAGATCACTGTCTTTGGAGGCAGCTTTTCCTGTCCTTGGATTAGGAACAAGGCACAAAGCTTGCAAAGCTTCTCAAATCTGAGGAGATGAATGTGAGACTTCATTTTTTATTTTTTTTTCAGTGATCTGGTAGTTTCTGCTGAATCTCTTTGCCAATAAAGTTGGTTTAGAAGCCCAAATATATACACTGGACTACAGCCCACAAATTGTTGTATTTATTTAGGCATTTGTTACTCATTGCAAATCTTAAGAAACTTCAGCTTCTAGGTCTTATTTTAAAAATGCCAAGAATATTAATCAGTCAAGTTTTTAAAGATTTTTTTAATTTCTAAAGGATAAAAGATACCATCTTCTCTTCAAATTTGTTAGTGAGATTTTCAAGGCTTGTCAATGTACAGATTTTGCATGGATAAATCCTTGACAAAAGGAGGTAACTTTGGCCTTAGAAACAATGATTGGAGCAGTATCTAAATAGCAGATAATATCTGGTCCTGGGTTCCCTTAATGATTCCATTAAAAGGTTAAGTGAATGACTCCTTGCCTCTGAAGAGGGCATGAGACTGAGACTGTATATGGGCAAATGAATTCTCATTGCTATGTACCTAGATTTACAGAGATTTTCAGTTATTAGTTCGCTAACATCCATAAATCATGACTCACCTTCATGCTTCATTTAAATATTGCCACAGCTTTCCTTCTGTGCTTTTTTCCAAGCTGCTGGCCTCTATGCCTGGACTTATGACAAGTATTAGGCAACTTGGTCCTTTGCCGCGTACTCACTGCTGACTGCTGCTCCTCTGCTGGTAGAACTGTAGTAATACTGGAACTGCAATCGGCGGTTGCATGTGTAGTCTGGCTTGTGAGCCTCCACTGTAAAAACCTTGTACTTTCTTTTGTTTTATTGTCCCCATCTATATCTGTCTTTGTAATCCTTCTAATCCGAGAGCACTGGAAGGCGTCTGGAAAACACCATTCATACTCACAGTGCCGCATAAAGGAAGTCACTGGAAAGACATCATTGCCTGCTGACATCTGGGACAGGGGGATTTATGGTTCCTAATGTCTTGGAGTCAGGGTATCAGTCCCATCAAAGGTGGGCAGGTGGTCGTTTAAGGCAGGTAAATACTTGGCCATTGTTCAACGTGCTTTGTGAGGAAAGCATGTGAAAGTTTTCTGGTTTAGAGAACAGATATTCTCAAGAAACAGACAATATCCCTTATTGTCTTCAGAAGAACTCATAGGAATCCTGTTTTACATAAAATCTTTTTATATGCAGGGAAAGTAACTGCTACTGTACTCAAAATGTGTATATTCTCCTCTCATCCTGTGCAGGTTCAGATGTTATTGATATTTATCCCCTAACTCATATGATACAAGATACAAAATATGTGCCAAGGACACATGAGAAAAGCATCAATGTTCTAGTTTACAACAGGGCTTTTCACCAGATTCTCACTATCTGCTCTGAGTCAATACTGAAGGTGAGTGTAAGTTGTCACCATTTAAACTGAAAAAGAAAAATCTCAGGTTTTTTTAATTACAAGTAGGTTTCTGGGCTATTAGGTCACTGGTTTCTCTTTACAATTCAACGTGTAGGTTTTGTGGCTATTTTGTGCTCAAATTCCGTAGGCAAGTAGTAGCCATGATGAATAAACTATTTGGGATCAGCAGCATTACTTTTCTGAGATAGCTACTTCCCTGACCTGCACATAACTGCACTGCCAGCACCATGCAGATTGAGCAAGACTTTGGAGGATGTTCCTTTAGCTGCACAGGTACACTTCACCTGTTCCTGCAATGGATTCTTGCAATTATAGCAACAGTACTGAAAGTCCACTGGCTATTGAGTAGCTACAGAGGTAGATTTTAACTGCCATGGTGTCAAACTGTGCATCCAGTCAACAATTCATGCAAGCATAACTACATATTATTCTTCAATTCAGAAGGCATATCTGATAAGCTTCACTTTAAAGTTTAAAAAGTGCTTGAGTCCCAGTCAGCTTAGTGGAATTTAAATGTGTACTTTAGACATTCTATGGATTAGCATAAAACATGAAAAAGTTACTTTGTAAAAACAGGTCTGTGTAAAAGATGCTGCTCTCAGGTAAAAGATTCCTTCACTAAAATTCGAAAGTTGCATTGGCACATATAGTGTGCCTAAACTATAAAACGTGACTTTTTATCCTTGTTTTGCTTCTTATCCTTTTGTCTGGTATGCTTCTATTTAGCTAGCAGTTCTGAAGTCAATTTGCTGACCTTCTGTAGATCCTTTTCTCATTCAAATAATTTCCTAGACCATCTTGTCCTAAGCCATAAGGATTTCAAGGTACATAGTGTGTGTGAAGTGTTTGTATAATAGCCAGTTGACAAGAAAAATAAAGTGATGGAGATCACTTCTATCACTTTTTAACACAGCTCTGTGTTGAAACATTAATGAAAAGATTAAACTTTCCTAGTAACTTTATAACTTGCATTTTAAGCACTAAAAATAGTTGCAATACAAGAGCCAAAAACCCCATAGATTAATAAAATGATTCATTACTAGTGTAATCAACAGTGTGACAATGAGCATCAGAGGTACCAAACACCTGCGATTTTCATCAGCTCTCGATGGGTTTGATGGCAAGATTTGTAGAGAGGTAGCATCTCTTATTGGGCCAGCTGGTGATGCATGTTATCCCTGTGGAGAAAGGCTTGTTTGTGTAAAGGTTTTCTCTTTATATACACTCAGTAAAGATGTTATTTCTCATTGTAACCCCTTCCTTACTTAGACCACAAAGGCTACAGCATTATAACAATTACAAGATAGTTTTGGGCACTTGGTGCTGCAAAAGCGCATATGACATGAGTGGCTACTTCATAAATACAGATGAATCTGAGCTGTCCCGCTACAGCAACCAAACTTTGTATTAGTACTTCATTATGAGGCATTGCTTAAATTCCCAAAAGGATTAAATAATGATCAGATTTAGATGTTCCTACATTTTTGGACCAAATGTTCGTGAGAAGCCTCATTCTGATATTCGGCATAGAAATTCTAGCTCCATTCTTTCTAGTTAGATTTCTTCACTTTTGCACTCTAAAAACTCATTTAACAACAGTCTCTCTGACTTAATGAGAGTCTTACTTATAGCATACTAAATACAGTTCCCCCTTGGCAGAATGGCTTCTCTGGGGAGGTGAACATTTTCCAGGAAATTACATTAGTATTTCAGTAATAGAGCATGGCTGTGTGCTATTGTAAAAGAGGATCTATTTCACAGGATATGAAAATTTTCTCTAGAAAATTTTCACTAGAACATATTGTGTGATGAGTTTTAGAGGATGTAGTAAAAACAATTACTGTCTTATTTTGTCAGGTCTGGGACCTGGAAACAGGATATCAAGTATATCAGATGGAAGATGCACATGGGCTGAATACTGAAGTGACCTGTGCAGACATTGAAATACATGGGTTTTATTTCGCTACTGGAGCATGTGATGGTAAAGTAATTAAATAATTATCACATTTTTATTACATTTATTTAAAATGACATATTACAAGAGGAATACAGAATTACAAGAGGAAACAGAACTTTTGCCTTGACTCTTATAGTGACAGAAGAATGAATTTTGGCTTTCTTCCAAGGTGCGCAGGAAGGAATGCACAGCTGTATGTCTGGGGAAGAGGGCAGCAGAGGAGGTGTGTCTTGGATGGGTTTTATCTGGTAGATAATTCATAGAAAGGTGATTTTTGCCTGCTTGATCTCTGGTATTCTGTTAGCCTATTGCTCTCCAGAAGACTGTCTTCAAAGCTTTTGGTCTGAAAAGATGTTTCCTCATAGCACTTAGGACCTAGATCTGTAACAAAGTGGCTGCAGACAGAGAACAGCAGTTTTTCAATTTTATAGTATCCAAGCTCAATTTTATAGCGTCTGCAGGCACTGAACACTAGAGTACCTATATCTACATGTTTCCTGAATTTTTCATGAGTTTGATTTAGGGTGCATCAAGTTCAGGTAATGTGACAAGACCTCTCCAACACACAAGTACTACATTGAATTCTGCAGAAAACTTTAATAGTTTTGTAATCTGATAACATAACAGAATAATTCTTCTCACGTTCAAATGTTCAAGAGTACATACCTGAAGCATTAAAATATATTAAATATATGAAAGCAGCATCACACAGAGAGATGGCCTTTTCCACATGGTATACTGGCTAATGTTTCTTGCTTATACTTGAGAGTAGAGACTACACCCTTAAGATTATAAGAGCATGACAGAAGGCGAATGCTATCAAGTCTTACAGAAGTGAAGTCATACGTAATAGCTGCTTCAGTTAGGATAATGCTGTAGCTCCTTCTCCCCACTAGCTCTCTGGGACAAGTCCAGCAGCCAGGTCCCCCTGTTCCTGTAGCTGAGAACCTGAACTCTTCTGCCTGACAGTCAACACTCTGCTGACTCTCTGGTGATGTTAGTTCAGAAACAGAAGATAGGTAGGTGTCTTTTATCCTGGGCTGTAGCATAAAACAGCCATGGAAAAAAAGATGGAAAGTGGTGAAGATGTTTCCTGGTAAGTTTTGTGTCCCTGAGGGTGCTTTCCTAAGAAACACACACACTGCTACGGCTTTCTAAAGGCCAGTGATATAGGTCAGAACCTTCAATTGGATTTTCTTTTTTCTACTCCTTTCCCTGTTTGATCCAGTGCAAGTTTCTGACTTGAAGCACAGGTGCTGAAAAGTTCATTCCCTTTTGTATATCTTTCTCATCCATGTGTAGGAACAGTGAAAATCTGGGTGTTTGAAAGTGGCCAGGAAGTTAAAGCCTTGCCTTTGGCCCAGTGCAGCAAAGATGCATGTCGTCTGCTGAAGATAATCTATCTGAAGGCTAATAAGAGTCAACACGCACTTCTTGTTTTGGAGCAGAGTGGGAAGATGAAAATCATTCAGGTTTTCCAAATACACTTTTTTTCTTTTTTTTCCTAATTTCATTTGGTAGCTCCTAGATTTTGAGGTAAAATAGGACTTCATTAATTAGTAGATACACTTTTAGAAACTGTCAAGGAACAATCCACTTTCTGCATATCATCAAATTAGCTTTCTGCCCTTCTGTCTAAGTATTAATATTTTCATTAGTCATTGCTGATTTTCAGCATTCTGATAATATCTTTTCTTGCATTTGCTTTTCTGTTTGTAATTGACATTTCGGTCAAAACTTTAAGATAAAAGCTTTACAATATTGCTTCTGTTATTATAGACAGTGTTTACCGTGTTTAAAGAGTTTCTAGTTCACCAGCAGCTAAGACTGGCTAGAACTGTTCCTGCAAATACTGTTTATGTATTTAGCCCCACTGCACTGGTCAGAGCTCTGCATTTTAACAGTACCTCAGGCCTAGGGCCACGTTCTCATGAGGAAGCTGTATCTTTTCCTGCTTCATGTCTGCCTTTCTGCCTTAATGCACTCCTTGGGCAGTGGAAGACACAGCATCACCTGCTTGGGTTCTGGATCTGTGTCATTTGTAGACATCACTGTCCCAGTCAGCAGCTGAGTCCTCAGACTCAGATATTGCTGACATATCCCAGTCATTTGTGTGCCATAGACTTGTGGCTTCTTCTTCTCACGCAATTGGAACAACCACCAGTTTTGCTGATATGGTAGATGTGAACTGCAGATCAGCAGTGCTAATAAAATAAGCAGCTATAACTGAAGAGACAACTTACTTTAAGAAGGTAGTTAAACTGAATAAAATCAAAAGCTCTGAACTCCACATCTTCTAATATAACAGCAGGTAATTTAAAGTAAACTGTAATATTTCTGGCTGACACGTCAGTTTGCAGTGTAGGCATATGCTAGTTGATAGCTATAACAGTTTTTATAGTTTGACACAGGAACAAGCTTTCAACACACTCTCACTGATAATTATCTTATGAACAGGAAATCCTTTCCTTCCTTTTTCATTAAGTCAGTTATTTTAACAGGGTAACTCAGTTGAAACATACCTGTATGTCACATGGGTGCTTCCTGAGGCAGTGTCCTTTCCGCAAAAGAATCCAGTTGTCTCTCTGTTACTGAAGCCCGACACCTTACAAACACATGAATTCTTCCCGGATATTCAGCTTCTGTCTGACACCAGTTCTCCAAAGGATGATACAGTGGTGAGAAACACTTCAAAGTTCCGCATAATTTACAGAAGATTAGAAAGTAAAATGTTTACTGTGCCCTCAAAGATTTAATGTTTAGTAACAGGATAAGAACCAAGTAAATGCTCCAAATTATCAGTACACTGAAGGTCTAAAATAAATTATGCAAGAAAGTGATTGTTTCCAAGGGCTATATCTGCCTAGTAATCCATTGCATGGTTTTTACCTTGATGAAGCAGCTGCTCTGAACATACACTTCACATTCCTGTGAAAAATAGTAAGTTGAGGTTCTTGTATAAAGTCTTCTAGAAATTAAACATCATTCATTACTATAACTAGGCTGACCATCAGGAATAGTGCCATATAAAGATCAAGCTGGGTGTTAAAGTTATTCCATTTTTGTCTCTTATTGCTTTGGTAAAACGTCAAATTATGTTTCAGTAATTGACCAATTTAACTTAGTCCATGAGACTTAAGTTTTGTTTTCTATAATTTCACTAATTTTGTAATAGATCTAGATGATGTTTAAGGAAAGGTCATCGTATTTCTGTTCAGTGACTTATTCGTTTGACATGACTACAGTATCTGCATAGGTACCTACTTCTGATTAATCTTCAGTTCTTACAGCAGTTTTTACATGCTCTAACTGCAACTGTGCTGTAGGTAGCAGGTCAGGTTGGCAGATGGAGGCTCCTATCCTCTGCAGCAGGGAGTCTCCCAGTACTATCACCCCCTGCTTCTTTCTGGTGCTTCTGTAAGGCTCAAATACAATAACATTAGAGTAGATTCAATATGCAGTTGTTGCAGACACTGTTAATTTAGGCACCTTATTAAACTAACAGTTAAAAAAATTCACTCTCTAGTGTCCATGTTGCTCCTACTCAATTTTTTTTCAATGTTCTTTGCAGAATTTTCTACCTTCTGTGGAAATTAAGTGTTTTGCTGTTTTAAAAGTAGAAGGATGCAGTTTGATAGCTACGGGAAGTGCAAATGGTGCAATAATTCTGTGGGATTTTGAATCTGCCACTGTGAGATGCCTGTAAGTATTGCTTTCAAGGAGGCATTTTGATCTTCAGTATTTTATGCAAACTTTTTAAATAGCATACTGGAAATGGTAAAACACCCAGCTATAAAGGGTGTTGGACATGCAGGAGTTAAAGTAACAAATTATGTGGGCCTCCTTCTCTTGCACTTCCAAATACCTTGTTAAGTATTCCTGACATTGCAGGTAGAAGATGTGCTCAAGAGAAGGAGTCATTTGGGGAAGGGACAATGTAATTAAGAACAGTGTTTTAACATAACTCAGCACTGCCACTGAGGAAACTATGTAAATTACTCTGTCGTTGAGGCTGCTACTGAGCTGAAGAAACATCCTTATTTAGGAAGTCTCATGTTTGGGAGGACATGTCTAAAAATTTTAGGGAAATGACATGTTTGATTTTTTAGATTACAAATAAAGCTTGCAACTTTTTCTGGGAACAATATGCGACCTATCTGACACATCCTGTATGAACACCTTCATTTTCAGGTGTAAAATTAATGAAGACAGCCAGGCTCCAGTTCTTCAGGCATCTGGAGTCAACGCCATGTTATTCCTTGTACATAGTGCTTTCTCTTCCAGGTAACTGTGTGATTTTATCTACCCCCAGGACAGGTGTAGTCATTTGTTGTAGTACACTGATGTAATATTTGTCCAAGACAGCTGATTTAAACTGAGATTTTCTTTGCATTTAATCAGTTCAAGTTCATACAGTTAATTAGCTTTCCTGTCCTTAAACTTTTGTAATGCTTATCAATCATAAATATTATAAATTCTTTTTTTACTGCTCCACTAAGCTATCCTCTTGTCCTCTAACTGACCTCATAAGTCTCGATTCTGTTGAAGAATCCAACAGAAATCAGCTTTTGTCAGGTATCGATTTTCCTGTGTACTATACCTTCTTTGATTCTTATCTCTGTGAGATAAATCTGTGTGGCAGCAGGCTTTTACTTTATTTCAAAACTGATAAAATCCTCATGCTGCTAGATACTCTGATCAAACAGAGAGAGAGGCAAGTTCATTGAAGTGTGTAGCCTCAAGTTTCATCTTAAAACAAACTAGAAGCTGGCATAGGTTTTTAGTGTTGGATGGAGAACAGAATTTTAGCCAAATATGCTCATTTTGAGAGAAAGGCATTGCACATGTACATAACTTCAGCAGCTTGGCTTCCAGCGGATATGCAAAGGCAACGGTAGCCAGAAGGACTCAATATGGTTTAAATACTTAATGCAACTTTAAGGTCTTAAGCAGTTAGGCAGCATTTTTGCTCTCCTGAACCATAAGAATGATTTATGGTCTTATGATGCTTTAAAACCTTCAAGTAGCTTATGCATTTACTACACACCTAAATGTACCAGTGCCACTTAACTGAACATAAATTTGCTTTTTCTACATTATAGCTTAATGATTAGTTTAGGAAATCCTTGCTAAATTAAAAATGTGGTGATTACAATTCACAAATGGTAATTTGTATAAATGAAGAAAAGTTACGATTATGCTTAAGCAGGAGGATCCTACAATGACTTTGAATGATACAGGTTTAGGATGTTCTGTATGTACTAGGAAGGTACCTGGATGAATTTGACTGTGATAATATACAGACACACAATGTTCAAGAATGCTAGCAAGTTTGTGAAATCAAACTTTGAAAAATTACATGGCCACCTGTCCAAATTTAAGTGGGCTACCCCAGCTATATACTGTCTATATGGGTTTTACATTATCCCTGTTATTCAGATACAAAAACAGAACAGATGTGAAATTGGTGTAAGTTATGTGGCAAGAACCTCTCATTAGCACAGTCAGACCTTTTCTAGACTTAGAAACATAAATATTGAAGGCCACATACTATTTCTTTGCTTGAGTTTCTTCCACAGAATCCCATTTCTGAAGATTTTCTTAACAGATTGAAAATAATCAATAATTATTTGGAAAAAAATTGCAGAACAAAGTGCTGGGTAAGATGAAAGGGAACAAGCCACTGACATGCACTGAATTTTTCCTCTTCGCTTCTTGAGGATGAACACCAGCGTTAATTTTGATTTACTATGGATTTAATTTGCTCAAAACTCCTAACAGCAGAGTTTGGCTGTGTAATATGCAAATATTGCCTAGTCACTTGCATAAATTTCTAAAACGCCACCAACCCTTAGTGTGATCAATTCAGGCGCTATTTTATTATGCTTTATTACACTGGATGATGTTGTTTTCCAGACAGCAAACAGTTTCTTTAAGAATGTCAGTGATCTCCACTAATTTCTTTCACACAGGAAATATAGTTCCCTGCCCTCTACTACTGCTGCTGTAAGGAGTCATAACGATGCCATTCCAGAGCACAAGAACAGTTCTTTGAGCCTACAAGAGGTAGGTATGGTGGCTTCATGGGTTCAGTAGAGTTCAAAGCAAATTTCACCTTAGTCTTGGTTTTAAAATCATGTAGCTTACTAAAATCCCTCCATAAAGACATGCACACAACTAAACATCAAGAATTACAGGGAAATAAACTTTGTTTCTCTAAGCTGAATGGGCAACAGGCAGGCAGCCTGGCTGTATGACACATGGAATAGCTGACTACCAAAGTGTTTATCAGATGCTTATCACTAGCAATACTGACTTTCAAATAGTGAGAAATAGCAGTACTCAAGTACTGAGTACAGAAGAATTCAAAGGGGAAGGTAAAATCGAGAAATTATGAAGTACTTGAATAAAATTGGAACTACATCTACATTGCAGCCACACTTGCTTGGATACAGTCTTTCAAATGACAGTGTTTGGGGTTTTTTTGTAATTTACCATGGAGTATCTCAATCTATGTATTTTTACGAAGCGTAGCATTAGATTTTTGTGACACATTTTGTCTTTTTATGCTAGAAGAACATGCCATGTCTGCCAAGTAACAAATAGCAAGTAGGCAAAAAGAGTAAAAAGCCTACCTCTCAGACTCTTTCCAGCATGTTGTTTCAGTAAAGTATGGCTATGTAGGTATTAGAGTAACAAAATGGACAGCCATTTGCAGCTCTTAAAAAGATCCCCAAAACCCCCACGTCAAGCCTTACAGATCAATAGGTAGGATGAGATTGAAGTGGCGTGTCCTCTTCTAAGATACCTCAATATCTCAAACACTGGTGGTTGCATGGTTTTTCCTGCCTTATTTGACTTGGCAATTTTTGAGGCCAGTATACTGTCAGCCTTGGGGATCCTCAGAAGCCTGTGTAGTAAGACACAAATGAAGGACTGTCACAATTCTCATACTGAAGATGCAGATGTGAGTAAATGTTATTGCTACTTATGTGCTTTGTTCATCTTTGCTCAAGGTAGTGCCAAGACTATATGCATGTTCTAAATTAAACTCTCTAAGAGATCTAGATTACATTCACATGACTGTGATTGACTTTGTTTATCCTAAGAAATTAATGTCATTCAGCCAAATTTACCTTTAGCACAATCCTAAAGTCCAATTAATTTCATTTGTGATTTGTTCATCTGTAATTTTGATTCTCTTCAGATGAAATGTTTCTTATTTTCACTCAGTGCTGTCCCAGATTGAATGGATGTTGTGGAAACACTTGAGTCCTTCAGTTAAAAAAAAATAAGTTCTTACAATAATTTCAAGTAGAGAACTGTTCTGTAGTTACACCCACATTCTGTTTTCTAATTCTCTTACATCTTACTCCTTGCTTTTAGGAAAATGTAAAAAGTGATGAAATTAACACTGAAATAACAACAGGTATGGAAATGTTTTTCATTCTTTTTGTTGCTGGTCCATTTTGTGGTCCCCATTACCATAGAAAATGAGTTCATCAGTTTGAATGGCAAACTGTATTTGTAATAATTGGGATATCATTGGCATGTGGATGACACTTCTCAACATCTGCTCCCTCCTGATTTGCAATTACTTCCCAAAACCTAGGCCACGATGCATGATATGCAAGGGCTTAATTGCTGTTTTTTCTAAGTAGACATGATGCTGAAAACCTTGCAGAATTTGGGAATGTCAACTATATACACTTCTCTGCCACATAAATATTTGAGCAATGAATTATTGAAACGGTGTATCAAAAGCCACTTGATTCATGTATAAGTGAATGACCTCACAGGCAAAATCTTCAAAAGCAGATGAAACTTTAGAAGGAAAAGTCTTCCTTATAGTATATATCCTTAAAGCTGAATTTATTTTGCAAAGAAAACATGCTCTGAAACGAGAATATCCCTAAGCCTTGTAGCTGCCCAATGAAATAGGCACTCATTCCTGCATCTACTGAATATCCATTTCACTGAGGACCTTCTTGAGACCCCCCCGAGCTCCTCCAACACCAGGAAGTCACAACAGGAACTCAAAAAAGATTCTCTGTAACTGCCACCTTGCATTTAGCTAAAGTTTTGAACTGCAGAAGTAAGTACAGAAATCTGTGATTCTAGAATTGAGTCATTTAGTTATTAAAACTCATTTCATTGCTGCATTTACAGTAGTCTCTAGAATCCTCATTCAGAGGCTGCAGAACTGCTTCTCAGCTGTCCTGGTGACCACTGTCTTGCACTTCTCCACTCTCACTGGTGCTTGCACTTTCTGTAAAATCTTGCTATGCTCTAAATAAGGTTCCCCCACATCATGAAGCAATAGTTCTGGCTGGTTTAGACAAGATCATGAAGACTGTTCTGATTTCTTTTCAGTTGTCTTTTATCCATATCTGTAATGGTTTCAGAGTAATATCATTTGGATGATGGAGTTAATTTTCAAAATTACTTTTTTTCTAGTGTGATGTAATTTCTGAGCATTCAAAAGCAGTTCTCAAGAATTGTTGAGAAAATGTATGATCATTTGTGTTCCAAAGCAGAAGACACAACTAGTTGCAAGAGTATCCAGTACGTAGAGTTTCCCAAAGCTGAAGCAGGATACTCACCGATACTGGCTTCTGCTCATGAAAATGGCTGTATCTGCCTATGGAGTATTCAGGTAGCTGTCTGAATGTTTTTGGGATGGGACTGGACTATTGAGAAGGTAATTCTACTAATCTTTGAAAACATGATTTTTAACTAGCAATTGCACCACTATCTAGATACTTTATTGAATTTTCTGCTTAACAATTTCTTCCATGGATACAAATTACTTCTGCTTTAATAACTGTAGCAGGAATAATAGCAAGACAAAAATGAAGAAACATGATTTGAAATAATTTTAACAAAAACTGACTGTAAAGTTATGTCAAAGTCTGAAAGTTGAGTTCTCACCCAAAACATCTATATTCTAAGAAAGGATAATAGGCATGGCAGAATGTCCTACTGTCAGAAGATGAGAAGTATGTCTGGAACATTGCACAAGCCAGCTAGCACTAGTAACGTTACAAATCAGGAGAGAATAGTACCTAACACATAGTGTCTACAGCTGTAATCAGCTTTTAAAGCCAGTCATGCAACAGAATATCAATGGCTTAGTTGTCTTAACACTTCAGATTCCAGAAAATACGTGATCACACATTACTCTAAACAAGATATACAAAGTAAATACAGTAAGAAGGGGGAGTACCATGGTATGATCACTGAGCAATGAAATAACTGCTTCTTTTAATGTAGAAGAGACATCAATCCAGAATACACCCCAGCTATCTTGGTCATTCAGCAGATTAGATAACTACCTTTTTAACAGCTTTATGAATAGATATGAGCTGAGTAATGCTGAATAGATCAAATCAATGGAACTCAACTTCTGATGCATTGATTATTATTTTTTTTTCATGTATATATTTCAAAGAGAAATATGTGTGTGATTGTTTATTTCAGGGAAACTTAGTGAAAGAACTTTTGCCATTTTCAAAACATCCTTCAGTTCCTCTTACAGCGCTATGTACAGACATCTCCACTAAAAAACTTCTGGCAGGCAGTAAGGGTGAGTAAACATGATAGTCATTCTGTTCAGGACAGTCTGTAGGACCACAAAACATCATGCTGTAAATGTGCCAGAAATGTGGAAATGAATGCTGAAATGCTTTCAGACTTTCTCCATCAAAGCTATAATTAAATAATTGAAAAAGGTATTTTCTAGTATGAAAGGATGGTAGATTAAAGCTTAGTGTTAGCAGCATTATCAGTAGAATTGGTTTTATAAAAGACATTTCAATTTTCTTCATTCACATGCCCTGAATAAACTTTCCATCTGAATTTTTGTGTTAATATCAAGGGCAAAGATTGCTCCTAAAAAAAAAAAAAAAAAAAAAAAGATTTCAAATCTATAGTAATAAAACTAAATAAGAAACTGCAGCTGTGGCTGTACCAAGAGCCATGATTTGGACACTGATGTGGAGTGGACGGTAATGGCTTCAGCAGTATGCTGCTGTATAAGGAAAGAAAGCACTTGTGGTCTGTGCTAGCAGCTCATTGTTAGGTTTAATTTCACATGAAATCTGGCTTTTATTTGACAGAAAGTCATCTGCTGTCTGATTCTCCTCCAAACCTTTAGAATCACCCTGGCAATTTTCCTCTTCTGCATCTGTCATGTGAGATTTTTGTCCTTTAATGTGTCACTTTTCTTCTAAAATTACTATTAGAACTATTTCCTGCCAGCTTCCTGCTCTTATGCTGTCAGAGGTTGGATGGAGAAAGTTTTTTTCTCATTTTCTCCATTTATCACAAAACTGAGCAGTAGCTTGACATTGATGGTGAAAATGTAGAGGAGTTTCCATTCCCCATTGATGCAAATCAGTAAATGAGTTCAGGAAGGCAGCATGCACTGAACAGGATTTTAACTAGTTGTGGAAAAATATCCACCTTACTACCTGTTCATCTGATACTCTTCCTTTGTCCTTTTGTGTTTGTGCCAGTATGTGTATGCTTTTCATGCTTTCTGCACCCTTCTCTTCTACCTGCAGTGCTACTACCAATTTTTTGTTCCCATTATAGATTTTTCCATGTCAGGAAAAGATCAACTTGTCTGTCAGCCTCCCTGCTTGCCTGAAAAGATAGTCCTAGAACCAGATGTGACCAGTATGAAAGCTGGAATTACACAAAAGATCTTTCTGCCTGGTAGTAGAAAGGAGAGATAAGAGGCAACTTCATCAGGAAAGAGGGAACCTAGGCAGGAAACTCAGCAGTTGTGGGTCATAAGGAAAATGGTTGGTTCTGCCTTCACATAGTGCACTAAAAGGTTGTAAAACATTAAGCTTTCATTATATCTGCAATTAATCAACTTTGTCCATTTTACCAGGACTGAAAAACAGTTTAAATCCCATGAATCTCTCATACCTAGTTTGAACAATAGAAAACTGTCTTGGCAAGATGACTTATTTTTCACTCATGTCATTTAAAGAAAAAAATTTACATTCTTGCCATTTCAAACCTATCCAGTTAATGACACTTTGCTCAAAAAGAGTATGTATATTTCCATACATATTAGTGAATAGTCTATAGTTTTCTGCTCTGTGCTTGACAATGAGAAAGTGATATTCACCTTAAAATAACATTCACTGACCCATAATCTCTGCTTTATTCTGCCCAATGTTTACCAAGAGCATGGGGTAGTAACAAGTGAAGGTGCAGCACTAATGAAATTTATTAATGTTTTGATTTTTTGATTTTTAAACAGAGGGACATATTATGCGCTGGTGCATTACCTCATTCTTAGAAGATCCACAAAACAATAAAAATGTAAGCAAGTATCTGTCAGCTTTTCTTAACTTGAACAGTATACCAAGATATGACAGAGAAAAATGGATTCAGAGCACTATGGGGACTAAAAATATTTCATGCACATACAGGTCATGTCTTTTGCTTGAAACAATAACTTGATGTTGTGAAAAGCAAGAAAAACATAAGTAAAATGCTGTTAGCATTATTCCATTGTGTTCAAAGGGGCTACGTTAAGAATGAATTTATCCATGTCCTCTGAGCGGTGTTTCTACCATATGCCATTCACAGACTGTTTCATGAAGGGATTACTTTTCCACCTCTTTTAATTTTCAGAAAGCCATACTGATAAATCCACTAAGCTACCAACCATACAGAACTGCCTGAAATGTGGTTATGTTGCTTTTTTCCCCCAGCAAGTAAAGGAGGAAGCCTGCTGGAGGGCACACGCTACTGAAGTGGTTGACTTATTTCATGAAGAGGAGAAAAATGTGGTAGTAACAGCATCTATTGATGGTTCAGTCAGGTATTGCTTCTTATGGCTATGGCAAATCAGTTGAACTGTCTCCAAAGTTCCTCTTTCTGCTGGACTTCTATGTAGGCTGGAATTGAAATAAATACAACATTGGGTGCGTTTTCTATTCTGCACCTGAAAGAACTATTTTTTTAATGTAATGCTTCCAGGTTTCTCAGGAAGTCAAACCCTTTGCAGACTGTCATTTTCTTCCAGCAAGGTGACCTTGAATGCATAGTTAATGGCCCCATCATTTTAGAAATGGCCACCTGTTCTAAACCTATTTAGCTTTCACTACTTGTTAAATTGACGTGGTTCCTAAGCACTGCCTCTACCCAATGCTTATATAATTAATCGATTGCAGTCTGAAATACTTTATAGACAATGGTAATTCCTTCTTGGCTAACAAGTACATTTGAAGGGGTTTCTTTTGGGTATGTGGGAGAATCAATGAGGAAATTTTGTGTAGATCCTGCTTTGGTGGCAGCAGCTTACTGTAGGAGTGATTCAGGATATTGATGCCTTACTCCGTTTCGTAATGATAAAAATTAGACGTTTGTTTTCAGATTTTTACTACATCCTTCTGAGATTTTTTTACTCTCAAGTTATAAACAGTGAACTTCAATCACATTGATTTATTTTTTTTTTTATGACTAGCACACTGAACTCTAGAACAGTGCTGCAGAACTTGATAATGTAGACAGGTATTTTCTCACTTTTTTTCCACTTCTAAAAGTATCATTTTTCCTTTCTGTCCTTTGGCACTGCTTCTACTATGTCTGTAGGCTCTGGAATGCCATGAATGGATACTATCTTGGTTACTATGGACAACCCAGGAAGTTTGAATTATCAGATATTAGTCGGTTGATTTTGCCTTGTGATGTTAATACCTTTCCTATTATAATTAAAGAAGAAAGCAAGTATATGGAAGACGAGGAGCTTGGATATCCTATTGTGCTGGACAGGGAAAAGTAAGATCTCATACATTTACATACATGTAGGACTGTACAAATAGTTCTGAAAATATGTGTAAAAAGCATCTTTAAACTGAAGATCAGAAAGAATTATTAGGATTTCCTATGAATTATTTAGAAAAATCCTTTGTATAAATGTTTCTACACAGCATGGATAGATCTCTTAATTGTAATGACTAGGTGACAGCCAGGATTAAGTGATGTTTGGGATTTGAATTCAGTAATAGTGATGGCTAGATAATTGTCTCATATTTTAGTCTAATTAGAGTCTGTATGTTATACACACTGTTCAGGTTAGCAGCCTGTTTCCTTTCCAGTTCCACAAGCTGATATACTTCTGGGATTCCAGAAAGTTTATTTTAAAATCTTAATGTATATAGTTTCGACTCAAACCCAAACCCTTCTGTAAAAATAAGCCAAACTAATCTTTCAGTTTAAAAAATGGTCTTCTTAAATTTGCTGGGATGTTATGGATACATTCACATACCTCTGATCATAACATTCAGACACAGGCATAAATGTTGTTTGTTCAATAGCAGTGTTGGACCTCTCTCTTCCTAGATAGAGCTCTCAAGGAATTTAGGTTGGTTATGAGTCAAACCAGAGAGCCTTGGACTTCTAGCTTAAATCATATTTATAGTCCTGGAGCTCCCTGGTTCATTAATTAGCGGATTGACCAAATAAACATAAATATTGAAGCAGGAATCTTCAGAGGCAATATGCATAGTACCATTAATAGCAACACAGTCCATATCTGTGAAAAATTACTCACAGACTTAAAAGTCATCCCTGCTTTAGTGGTAAGGTTTCATATACCATGTCAATTCTTATGCTGCTGTCCTGGTTTCAGCTGGGATAGAGTTAATTTTCTTCCTAGTAGCTGGCACAGACTTGTGTTTTAGACTTAGTCTGAGAAAAATGCTGATAACACACCGATGTTTTAGTTGTCACTGCATAGCACTTACCCTGACCAAGGACTTTTTAGTCTCTCATGCTCTGCCAGTGAGGAGGGGCACAAGAAGCCAGGAAGGAGCAGAGAGTAAGGACACCTGACCTAAACTGGCCAAAGGGGTATTCCATACCACAGCACGTCATGCCCAGTATATAAACTGGGAGCAGTTTGCCAGAAGGCCCAGATCGCTACTTGGGTCAGGCTGGGTATCAGTCAGCAGGTAGTGAGCAGTTGTATTGTGCATCACTTGTGTTTATTGGAGTTTTACCCTTTCCCCTTTTAGTTTTATTTTCTCACCCCTTGTTATTTCCCTTATTATCATTAGTAGTAGCAGTAGAAGTATTATATTGTACTTGAGTTATTAAATGGTTCTTATGTCAACCCATGGGGTTCACATTCTTTTGATTCTCCTCCACGTCCCAAGCAGGGTGAGAGGATAAAGGGGGACTGAGCGAACAGTTGCATGGTACTGAGTTACCAGCTGGGTTTAAACCACAACAGCTGCCTTTTAACCAAAGCATTTTGGGACAATGGGAAATCTCTCAAGTGCTTTTCTGTTACTTCTTTTAGGTCAGTATCGTGATAACACTTATTATTCCTTAGAATTCTTAATAATGTGAATAGTCCCACTGAAGTCAAAATGCTAACTCATCAATACAGAGAAGTGCTTGGCTATGTTTGAAGGGCTAACGCCTGTAGTCCTTTTAAATAGTCAGCAACTAATCTGAAACCTCTGGAATCAAAGATACTATAATTAAGCCAGTTAACTTTGAAGAACCTTTCCATAAATGACATTCCTCTGTCAAACTGTGACTACTTGTGGAAGACTCTTCAACTATTTCAATAAAGGAGAACGGCTATCATACATTTAAAGAACATTAATTAAATAGACTGGCAGCAAAGCCTGCTTAACTCTGCAGAGAACTGGGGGGTAGAGGCGGGGAAAGTGGACACATGCTTCACAATAGAAAGTTGTGGTCTTATTCTGTATACTCTGTATGTGCTGTCACCGTAAGACTAACTTGATACCACTGGATTAATTGTACCAAATGTGTAATGGATAGCTAGCCAGCCATCATCCAAAAGGCTGTGTTACTTATGGATGCTAGGCTTTGTTCTTTACAGGATACAGAAGCTTCTCTTGGGTCAAGTCACTTATCTTTATGATTCTACTACAGTTTGATTATTGGATAGCTGTCAAGTCACTAAGATAATATTTTAGAATTTCATTTTACAAAACAAGTTATAAATGCTAATTACAGATGTCGCCCAAATGTGCATATACCTGGAAAGGTACAAGCTCAGCTGAATAGCATAGGTGCTTACAGTTGAAACAAGCAGCTCAGGTGATCTATTGAAAAATGCCAGCATGTAGACAGGCCCATATAAGAGAACAGTCTCCGTTTCAGTCTATAGTTCATAATACTTTAGCTTGTGTGACCTGACTTAATTTTTCCGAATATAAATGAAACTGTTAATCTACACTCTAGATCATTTCCTCTTAAATTTGGAAACCAGATATATGAGCAGAGGAAACTTTCTTTATTACAAAAGCAACATACAGGAACTGTAATTAGAACTGACAGAAATGCTGAAAAACCATTATGAGACAGCAGATTAGCACCCAGCTGTGGTAACTGGTGTTTTTTGTATTAACATTGCCAGCCTTCTAAAGATGACAAGCTAGTATTTGGATTGACAAAATGTTACTGAAGCACTTGGTGACACCTATGAAGGTCCTAATATAAATTGTATTTTTGAGATATATGGAATAATTTGTAATTCAAAATAATTTTATTTTGGAGCCAGCTAAGAATGTTGCATTCAAAACTGCCATTTTTATAGGAGCATCAGATTTTTTCTGTCTTGTCTGTACAGGTGGAAGTCACTGACCAGATCACCTTCAGATTTAAAAGGTCCTAAACATGTGAACACAATTCAGGACTCAAAGTTTTTCAAATCTCTGGCTTCTCCAAAGGTAGCTAATGTATATGACAAACTTGTTTCTGTTCTGTGCAACATATAGGAAATGCAATTGTATGTCTCATTTAGAAATTAGCCATAAATAATTCTACATACCTTTCTCATTCAATGGACAAGCTAGAACAAAGATGCATAAATAGAGGGATCGAAGAAACCTCCCTGGTTTTCATTCCCATTGTTTCACACTTCCAAATTCCAATTTAGAAGGTAACACACAATGATTCACTATGATTTGGTTTAACAGCATTAAAAAACCCTAGAATTTTCACATGCTCCAAAAGAAATCCTAAATATCTCAAATTTACTTGAAGGAAGTGTGAAAATACTAGAACAAGGGTGAATCCCTGATTATACACAATAGCTCTTTTAGGGTTCCCATGAAATCAGAAACCAGGAGAGTTCTGAATTATTTTAGATATCATTATGAATACTTTCTACAACTTGAATTGAATAATGGTGCAGCTCCTCCATTTTTACCTGTCTTAGCCCTTAAAAGTCAAGGGAACAGATAAAATTTCTCTTGCAGTTGTAGCAGAAAAGGAAAAAGACACAAATCCTATGACCACTTCCAAAAAAGCTTCCATTAGCACCTTTCTGACCATTCTTTCCCTGAACCAGAGGTTTTTGGTCAAAACCCAGTAAAGGTTATGAACGCTTTAAAAATGTCTCCTAAACTTTGTGATACCATGAGTCTCCTATGTAGCACAATCTGATATCCTAATGCTGCCAGCTAATGTCCAAACAGTAGTCAGTAAAAGACAGCATTACTCCATGAGGCCAGCTAATTTTCTCTGTGTACCTTTGGAGAAAGAATGACAAGGTGAGTGGAAGATACGTCTCCACTGTTTATAGAATCATAGAATCATAGAATGGTTTGGGTTGGAAAAGACCATAAGATCATTTAGTTTCAACCCCCTGCCATGGGCAGGGACACCTCACACTAGACTCTGTTGCCCAAGGCTCTGTCCAGCCTGGCCTTGGACACTGCCGGGGTTGAAGCATTTACCACTTCTTTGGGCAACCTGTTGCAGTGCCTTACCACCCTCACAGTGAAGTTCTTCCTTATATCTAACCTGAACTTCCTCTGTTTAAGTTTAAACCCATTACCCTTTGTCCTATTGCTATCCTTGCCCTTCTTGCCAGCCAGTTCTTCCTTTCTCGTTTGTCCTTGCTGACTGGGACACCAAGTATTCAAGATCAACTCCCATCTTGTCTAGGTGCTTGACTATTGAAGCTAGTGGATTGCTTGCTGCTACACAAAGGTAGTCAAGCATGCAGTTTTGAGACATTCCACTATTTCACCCCAAGACAGCAACAAGTTGGTGAGCTTCCTTAAGTCACAGTTATATCAGTCACAGGTGCTGCACAGTCTCCAGAGCAGCCTGTGTTTAAATCACAGGAAGACTGATGTAGCTACTTTTTTGTAGGAGGATGCACTACAAAGTATTGGCAGTTGATCACTGGTCCCCTGCTGTTCAACAGCTGTAGATACAGCATTGTGTAATAAGAGAACAGTGTTAGTGGGAAAAATATGTTGGTGCTGGGTATAAAACATGAAATTTATTGTAGCAAAGTCAGTGGTTGAGTACATTGTAGGTCAAGACAGTAAAGGTAGGCTCTGCTTTGCATTTTACATAGTCATTTGGAAAGATGACTTACTGGACATCCCATAGCAGAAGATACATGATGCATGTTAGCACTGGAGTCCCCTTCTGATTAAGCTTTGGGTGAGAAAAAAGTTTGATTTCCTATCATTTGCCTTAGAGCAGAACAAACCAGTGGACTTCAGTTTGCACTTTAGACTAGGGTGTGCTATTCAGTGGCTGTGCAAATAGCTAGAGTATACGATTAGCTCACCATAATTCAGTTGTCTTATCTTTCTGAAATAGGTAAGGCCTAATAGTTAATGCACATGAGTAATGCTTAGAATTGACAGACAGATACTGGAAGAGATTCCTTTATAAATGTTTTACAGTGTTGAAGATGTGGTATGTTTTAAACTGTTATTACTATTATTTTATTGAGCTTACCAATATTAACAGGTGTTAATAGGTGAGAGAACTAAGTGCTTAAAACTAGCTTTAAGATAGGTGATAAAAGGCATTTTGCTGTTAACTCTCGATTTTGTGTTGCTTGGAAAGCTGGGATTTTGCTGGTTATGCATTTTCTGTAGTAGAATAATGATCCCTCTTATTTAAAAAAAAAAAAGTTCGAGGCAGCCTTTGCATGGTACAGAGAAAACCTGTGTATAAACCCTAATGTCTCTAGATAGTAGTGATACACATTTCTTCAGATAACATGAATCTTACCATGCAATTCAATAACAGAAGTAATGTCTTCATTATCATTTGTCTTCAGATAGTAACACACTAACTTTGGCTTCCCTTGGTCAGATCTATAAACAACCTTTGAAATGTTTTGAGCCTGGAAACAGACTGGCTGGTGCAGTATTTGGGCATCTTCCTATATATAAGGTAAGCGTAAGTGTTTTCTACCTTTTGCGGTAGCATTCCTAAAGCAGAAGCCATTAGCACTAGTAAATTATTACAATCACATACTCTGACATTGTATTGTTAACTATCTGCTTCTCAATTTAATTTTCTAACATGGTTTGCATTACTACCTATCCAACTCCATTCTCCATTTGGTGGAAGCTTGAGAAGCCAGTTGAAGAAAAAATGCCGCCAAGTGAGTATTCCAGATGCTTGCTTCTCCTGTTCAATCTCACCTCACTAACTTTTTGCTCAGACTCGACTTTTTTAACCAGCCCCCCAAAATTGATTCTTATTTGCACAAAGATTTGGCTATTGTAAGTTAATACTGTTTTATGGGTACTATTGGTTTGGTTTATTGCAAGCTGTCTAGCAAGGTTTCCTAGGTTGTTCCGTCTATGGAGAAAGACCAGAACGCCCACAGGTGTTTATCCCACCTATCATAGGATGGAAAGAATCACCCCTAGCAGAGGTGGTGATCTCTTTCTATAGAAGGTACCTAGAAAACTAGCTTGGATGAGACTGTAACATCTAGATGGCTAGTTAGGTAGGATGAATAGGGTACTCTGCTTTCAAATCTATATGGCTTAATGCTTGTGCATGCAGCATTACAGAGTATCTCAGAAAACAGAAAACTTGGGAGCACAATGTTCAAGCAGTTGGCACATATGCTATTCTTCTGACCATTAATGTGCCTTGGAAATCTGTGTTTCATTTTCTTCCAGAAGAAGAAAATAAAATACAGGGGGTCTTGTGCCTTGGCAAATTAGGAGTAATTACACTGAAACCAATGACACTGCAATGGATTTACAATGAAATGAGATCAGACTTTTTCTGTGAGCTACATACGCAGTAAATATTTTCTTTTGTCTGTGCTGTTACAAAACACTATCAAATTGGTCCGTTCACCTGAATATATTATTTAGTTCTTGACATTTTGCAATTTATTTTTCAAGGTCTCCCAAAGAAAAAAGCTGAGACATCAAGTGCCACTGGATAGACAATGCAGACAGGTGGAGAACAGGGTCAAGACAAATAAACATAGTGTCCATCTTCGGGACAAGTGGCTTAGCAGGTTCCTTATTTCATTTTTTCTCTGTTTCTTTTTAATTTTTAATTATATTTAAATTCATTTCACGATTAAGTAGAACATCTAGAAATCAAACTTTTACTTCTATTCCAATCTTTCATGCAGATAAAAAATTCTAATAAAGACAGTGTATGGTTATAACAAGATACTCACAGAAAAGCCCATCTCACTCCACTTTTCAATGGTTAAGAAGGAAAAGAACCTAACTGTGATTAACTGCTTACAGATTCAGAGCCATAAATCTGCAAAAATTCTGCTTTTGCTAGCCATATAGATTCCTCTGAAGAACAAGAAATGTTATTCCAGAGGTCTTGCTCTAATCTTTCTCTCATGTTTTGGGAACTTTGGTGTCCTTCGATAGGCAAAGAGATGATGGAATGGTCCATAGGTAGCACAGATATGCCACAGTATCTTAGTCAAATGTCTTCTTCCAGAAACATTTAGATTTCCTTGTTAATCATGTGGAGATAAGACAGAAAGAAGATTGAGAACTAGGTTCAAATAGTGAGAAATGGCCCTATCTAAAGATACCTGGATTTAGGTTACAACACGATAGAACACACCGTCTTTAACTCTGCACTATTTTCAGCTGAGCTAACTTTACATTAATTAAGCATAATTACAAAACCAGAAAAGGCACAACCTAAGCAAAGCTCCTTGCAATTGTTTTGTTAATGCTATGCAGATGAGTCTTTGGAATTATCACTCTAATACCTTTTAGTTAGAATATTTAGCCAATATTTCTGTTTGCTCAGAGGATTCCTTGACCAGAATTATTAACAGAACGAAATGGCCATATTACCCCCAAAAACCATTTTCAGCAGCTCAGATATTCCTTCTGGTTTATGCGACTTTGTTTCATAAATGCGCTAACATGTCACACTAGGGAAGATCTGTGCACTTTAGATTTTTTTTGAGTTATTTTTCTGGCTGATTTACTGCCTGTCAGTTCAGGTTTATGGGCAAAATCCTCATCCCTTGTTGCACCAATTTAAATCCTAGCTCTGCAGATTTAAAACAGTAAAAAACACTATAGGTCAACTCAATTGACCCCAATTATGTTCGTATTTTTTATTATATAGTGCAAACTAAGACTAGGGCATGGTAGATGTATTTAAGCAAAGATCAAAATGTGATTCAGGATGTAATGATGGTGAAAGTGCAATAGTATTATTTTATTAATATTGTGACTCAATATGAACTCCTCACAATGAACCGTTGTAAACAAGACCAAAATTCATAAAAATTACTCAGCTTATTTTAGGGTGATCAGGAATCATACTCCTTTTCAGCAGTTGCCAGTGGCTGTTTACTTAGTGAGAAGCTAGTAACAATGTTGTTCTGGTGGATTTTGCATTAATTGAAAGTATTAAGCTATTCCCCTCTGGGATGTGCTAAAACCTACTTAACATCTTCACTATTTTTATGATTGGACCCTGAACCCTTAATCTAAAACAGAACCTTTGGATACAACTGGAAGAGGACTGGCAATGTTAGCTCCAGTAGGTTCTGCACAGGTCTGGCTGCTGTACCCCTGCAGGTGCTCTCCAGGGCCTCTAGTTCTGTTCTCCCAAAAAGTCCATATAAAACAGAAAATCAGGGCAGTGTGATACAGAGAAATTACACCTAGCTCTCTGCGAACTGTTTCGAAGGCAGAAGCAAATCAAAATGGCATTCTCCTTTATCCAGGCTGTGTCAGCCTCACAATTATTCTTGGTAGCAAAGTTAACTGTAATTTGAGCTTTGTGAGTCACTCCAAGGCAGATTTCTGTAGCCTTTTTAACTCTTTCCACCACAGTAGTTATTTTTTTTATTTTTTTTTAGTGTCTAATGTGTCAGAACTCCATTTTATACTCACAATCAGATAAACATCCAGTTCACAGAAAGGAGTTAATATGTCCTGCTGCTTCTGCTGCTTTAATTCCTTGCTTATGCTTTCAGAGAGCACGTTCACCCTCTAAGCCAGAAGACTACATGCTGAGCTCATATTCAATTCATTATCAGTCATGATTCCCTGAATTCTTCCTGGCATTTCAGCATTCCAGGACACTGTCACAACATGACACAGGTCACAGAATACATATTCTATCATCCTTTGTCTTGCTAAAGGTACAAATCATTGCCAAGAGTGTCACTGTGGTAAGTATTTAGCGTAATTAATGTAACTAGTGCCATTATTACCAACAATTTTGGAGAAAACAAAGGTGTTTCTATATTACTGGTAACGAATGACGTTTGATCTGCTGGCCTTCTTGGAAAAACTGTCTTCTGGTAAGCTGACAATGACTTGCAATGATTTACCTGTCTTCAACTTGTTATAGGGCTATGATGGATTTTGGGGTAATACTGGTTTTTGGTCCTTTTTTAACAAAATATCTTGTGGGAGGATATTTAAAAATACTATTATCAACTGTACCAGGTCTGGCTGAGGTGAACCTAATTCCATTCCATATAATGTCTTGCTCAGCAATAACAGCTTATGGAATGGAGGAGCAAATCAAGATATTTGGGGTTAGGGTATCTGTCTTCACATGTAACCTTCCCAGGAAAAGGTTAAACATCTGCCTGCTGATGGGATGTAGTGAATGAATTCTGTATTTTGTTTTGTTTGTACATACAGCTTTGCTTTGCCTATTAAACTGTGTTTATCTTGATCCATGAGTTTTCTAACTTTTGCCCTTCCAAGTCTCTCCCCCATCCCTCTGGGACAAGTAAGCAAGCAACCGGGTGGGTGCTTAGTGTCTGCCAGGGTCAACCCACTACATAAACACAATTAACCTTGTGATTAAAACTAAAATCGAGTTTGTCTGACAAACCAAGTATCACCAGGTAAAGCGTAATCTGCCATTTACTATCGGTGTTCCTTTCATCTGCCTTTGAAAGACACCTACGTCAGCTCTCTTCCACTTACCTGAAAATTGCCTAGTCTTCAAAGATTATTAAAAGTGAACAGTTCAGGTTCACAGAGCTCCTTTTCCATTTCTTTCGATTCTCTTATGTGTATTGCTTTATAATCGTGCAAGATTTTCTCTTTGCTATTGACCCTATTTATAGTTGGAACTAAAGTATTCTACTACCGTTGCAAGATGCAGAAATTCTGCTTCTCTTCAGCTGGTTAACTGGCTATTTACTTACTTAGAACTATCTACTCAGAACTGACTATTAACTCATTCTTTCATTTCTACCAAACCCTTAGCACTGCTAGGATTTCATAAGTTCTTAATTTATGAATTTTACTCTTTTCAGTCTTGCTGTCTGCTCCTTTTAGATTTCCTTATTAATTGCCCATGTTTTCCAAGAGCCGATTTGTCTATTGTGGCATAAATAGACTGACTATTTATGCCACTGTATTCTCCGTGGTGCAGAAGAGCCAATCCATAATGTAATACTATTCCCAGTAACAATCAAGTGTTTAATCTTATGCTGAAAGAAATCAATGGACTATCTCCCAGGAGGGAACCATGCTGTAAGGAAAGCTGTCAAAGATGCATGATACGTTATCTTTAGCAGCCTTCCATCCAGTTACCACCTTACTGTTGTGCTATTTAAACTGCAACAAGATTTCAGCACTGTAATGCTCTCAGAGGTTTTTTCATAATTCATTAAATTAACAAAACCTGAAGTAGTTCAGACTGAGTGTCATTGCTCAACATTACTGTTTATTTGAAGAATTCCAACTCCTAGGGCTTTATAAATGCCAAATAGAAACTGGTCCCAGACCCAAACATTTTACACAATGATATTATCCTATTGTCTTAAGTGTCATGAGAAAAGCAGAGATGCTTCATTTCTTTGAACAGATCATCTACTAAGACACGGCACTGCACAAAATTCATTAGAAGAATAGTTGTTTATTGTGTGCTAGAGAACTGAGGATGCTATTGAAAGAAATTATGCATGGAGAAGCATGTCAGACAAGTGATACTTCCAAATACACCCACTCATCTTCAAGAAGTCTTTTCAATGCTGGATGTAGCATAAAGTTGTGTGTTGATGGACTTACTGGTATTAGCTGTGATTTTCTCTATGTAGATGTCTCTGTATTCCACTGCAGGTTAATTTCTTTCCACCATCATTCACAATTATATTGCAGGCCTAAATGTTCCAGGTGTATCAGCTGTTCCATTGTTCCAGATCATTACTGTATTATGTAAAGGTGTCTTTACAGGACAGCATCTTTCAGCACGGCAGAAATTCACGGTTGTGCTGGCTGCAGTAGTTAGTTTGCCAGAATTTCATTACAGCCCTTGCTAGTGCTTTACAAAATCTGGGACGTTCTTCAGCTGCTCTCACCCACTGGGGTAGTTCAAGCTGAATGGCATCAACAGTGCCAGAGCTACGGGAACTGAAAGTCTTTGTTATGTATCCACCACTATAATAGCTCCCATTATTTGGGCTAGGATTGGATGGAGAAGGCACACAAACATAACTGTTATCTTGTTCTTCAATATATTTACCCAGACTTCTGTTCCCTGCAACCAAAGACTCAGAAGACACATTGACTAGCTGACTGGCCAGATGGCTAATTGAGGAACATGACGCAGAAAAGAAGCCTGAGTTAAGAGAAGTTTTTGAAAAGGTGTAACCTAATTCTATCCACCGTTCAGGATGTGCTTGTCCATGGATATCCAGAATCAGGCCCCCTGTCATCTGTCTTTTTGCAGTGGTCAAAAATCCCATGTACTCCTCCCACGCCTGTTCTGCTTGGGGAATTCCAAAGCAAGCTTCTTCCTTTGCCCTGTTAGCATCCATCTTGAATCTCTGAAGGTGGTTTATAACGATATGTGGGAAGAAGCCAGCAGTAATGTTGCTGATTTCATCAGCAAGAGCTTGAACTACCTCTATAGTATACCTGTCTTGGCTGGTAGACACTTTGCATTTCTTATAACTTTGAATACTTCCAGGAGGACACTCATGAGAGAAAATACAAGAGGAAGTCTTTGCATCCCAACAGGCAGCCTCTCGATCAGGGATGTCTTTGGGTTCCATTGACCCACCGTGTGGGACAGAGAGAATCAGGTTCATGTTGCCCACTTGATATTCTGTGAAATTATTATGGCCAAATATAACCTCTTTGGTGCCAGTGGTTTTCAAAACTAAATATAAAATGGAAAGGAGGAACAGATACATATTCTTCATGTGCTGCTAGAAGACTCAGCAGTATGGAATATATCAGTACCTACATAAAAGGAAAAGACAGGGTTTAGATTACTTACAGCTGGGAACACATGAGAGACTGTTTAGCTACTACTGGAATCACTGGTTACTGATTAACCTATTTTAATTTTATTCCACATAGCACAAAAGAGAAGTATGTATATGAGAAACAAAAAGGAATAGAGCCTTTAGTGTTGCTAGATGTAACTGATGCAGTGTTTCCAAAAGAGAAGATTCTCCCAGAATAACAGGTGAGGGAAATGATAGATCACTGGGCCTCTTTCATTTCCCTGGAAAGCATAAACTCTATTTGATCATCCTATCTGATCCCAGAAAATCACTAGATCCCAGCAAAATATTTGAAATAATTTTTTTCAACCAAACCCTCCCTTTTTTTCACCTATGAAATGTAATAAAATTCTAACAAAATTTGATAGAATATATGTATCTCACTGGCCTGTATGAAATGTCTGTTTTCCACATGACTACAGGAACTAGAAGCTATGTCAGCTCCGACCAGCATGGGGCTCGTGTAAAATAAGCAAACTGATAAAAATTGAGTGCTACCAAGCTCTATCTCTAGCTATGCTCCAGGCTGAGTTAATTTGAATCATAGAATAGAATCATAGAATGGTTTGGGTTAGAAAGGACTTTAAGATCATCTAGTTCCAACCCCCCTGCCATGGGCAGGGACAACTAACACTAATCCATGTCACCCAAGGCTCTGTCCAACCTGGCCTTGAACACCACCAGGGATGGAGCATTCACAACTTGTTATGCAACCCATTCCAGTGCCTCACCACCCTCATTTGATATCATTATAGATAGGTACCAGTGAGTGCATTAAGGAGTGACTCTATTATCTTCTAGGGAGCTATGTTTTTAAGCCTTCGCTAACTCTGCCTTTTTTTGGAAAGCTGGCATTCAGCAAGATGCTGGCGTTGTTTTCTGGTTTGAAGGCATTACACCTCTAGAAAGATCAGAGTCTTGAGTGTAACTGTGTTGGATGGATATAAAATGAGTGAGTCAAGTCAGTGAAGAGCAGAATAGAAAAGGATACTTTTCATTTCCATGACTTTAAAAAAAACCTCAACATAGGTCATATGAAGAGTATGTAAACAGATGCATTTGCAGATAAGGCAGGCTGCCCTGTCATCTATCCTGCCCCTATCATTACATCACCTGCAGAAATGCATAGGGTAAGAGGAACAGACAGCGGAAAGGTTAAGAAAGATCTGCAAGAGTCTGTCCACAGCATCTGGCCTGAGAGCATATGTAAGAGCAGCCAGTAATATTGAGGGGGCAGGATACAGTATGGAATCACCCTCCCAGCAGCTGACTGCTCTTGGAAAAGGAAAGGGCAATTTCACCCACATAATGCAGCAAAATATTACTTTCCTACTATGATGGAATCCTGCTGGCTTTTTAGAGACAACCTCTGTTGCCCACTGACCTCATCCACGCTGAGGAGTCTGTATATGAAATGCAAATACCTACCTTCCTCTCCAAACTGAGGAGCCTGTATATGCAAGGCAAACATCTTTCTTCTTTCTGGGCTGAAAGTATCAAAACTTCCAATTGAGCTGGAATCAGACCCCTGAGAATCTAATCAGTTTTCCTACAGAGCATAATTAAGACCTTTTTTAATTTCTTTTTAACCTTTCAGTTAACAAGTCCTTTTACTTGAGCTACTAGCTAAAAAGAAGCTTTTATCCAAGTCCTTGTATAGTTCATGCTCCCTTAGATTTCCTTGAGACACAGACCTTCACCTACTAGTTCACTGTTTGCGTTACCAGAAATGTTGGGGAAAAGAATATTTCCAACCATCATTCAAAATCCCTTTCCTCAGAAAA